CTCATTGAGTTCTTGGATTTTTTTAAAGTCAAGTGTTGCCAGAAGAATATATTTTTATTCTGAGGTATGTTGAGGGGCCTTGAAGGGGGTACACCCTTAAGGCATCCCTCATCTAATTATATAAAGTGGTTTGGGCCGTCTCATGGTCCAGTGCTTTCGAAACTTGAAGGAAAACATTTTTTTTACTAAGGGTTGGTTGAATAACGATTTTCATTTTTTTTGGGAAAAAAGACGAGCAATATGTTTTTTTAATTATCAACCGTGCATATTTTTAGACAAAAAATAGTCTGCCAAAAATTGTTGCCACAAAAATGAACTTCCCATCTGATCATAGCTAATAGCTACTCACCAGGATGCAACATTATTTTGAACCAAATTGTGTCTGGAACCATTTGAAATATAAACTTGTTCGAATTATTTGCACAGCGGCATCACATTGAATGAGACAGTGCCCCTATCCTTTTCAAACCCGTGCAAACAAAGAGGCCCTGCAGATCGACAATATATTCTGACCGTTTTTCTGGCATTTTTTTCATATGGATACTGGCCTTTGTATTTTGCATGATGAAATGTCCTCGTCCTTCATTTTTTGGAAACAGAAAAATATAGTGCCAAAAGGCGTGCCACACAGACTTAAATTGATAATAAATAGCAAATGACAAGTACCAATTGCACACAAAATTTATTATTACAGAAATGAATAAATATCAAATGCATTTTGCAAATACTTTTCTATATCACAAGATCGTGAAAACGGTGTGGGTAAATGTGTGGCAAATTGATGGGGCAGCTGACGTTGCAGTAGTAGAGGTGTAGCGTGGCAGTGTGGGGTTGCGGTGGAAGGGCAGAAGATCAATGGATGAGACTGGCATATGCAAGCCAGAACGCCGGTGGCTAAATGATTGAAGGCTGATTGACTCACGTTTGCTGGGCCCGTTGACTAGCCGGAGGGCAAGCGCGAAGAGTAGTTCCATCCCAATTCGCAAAACGAAACAGCAACGCTAGTTGTTCGCGACCTGGCCATATAGGGGGTAACAAATATAATATGAGCATAGTTTGTGCCATGCAAGTCCATCACGCACCCCACGTATTCCTCAATCACACATGTAATCTTATAAATTCAGAAATTTCCCATGAAACAACTTATTAGACCAAACGGTGCGCACCACAAAACATGAAAACAACATTTCTGCTGACTGATTTCCTGTGCCTTTTTGGTCCTTGGTGTTCGTTTCCTAGTTTTCAGATGTAGTTCCTTGATGAAATGCTGCGCCGTGTGTTCGAGAAGAACGTTCAGACGGCCCTGAAGGAAGCAACGGGTGTTAACTAGACGTGATGTTGGAAAGTGCTGGCAATGTTTTTCGCAAATGGTCGTCATACTAAGACTTCTAAATTTATTTATTTTCACATCAGGCACTTAATGAAAATATTAGTAGTTATCTTAACTTATCATAGAAGTCATTTTTACTTATTTTCACTTATTTTCACTTAATTTAGGTTAATTTTTCATTATTTTTTACTGTTTAAAATTGATAAAAGACGAAAGATGTTTCTGTCATAGGGTTTTGTAAAACATCTTTGAATTAAAAAAATATAAGAATGTTGCGTTTTCTTTTTTTGTTTGGATATTTTCATGGTTCCGATGCAAGATCTTCCTTGTCCTGTTAAATGTATCTTTTACAGGAAGTTTCCTTTTCAGGCATCATCTCTTTTCAGGAACTATCCTTTTCAGGAATTATTCTTTTCAGAATGAATCCTTTTCAGGAGTTATCCTTATCAGGAATTTTTCAATTCAGATTGAATCCTTTTTCAGGAATTTTCCTTTCCAGGAATTATCCTTTACAGGAAATGTCTTTTCGAAGACCTTTTTCCATTCAGATAATATTTGGTCACTTTTCCTTGTTTTGTCACAAGCTGGAAATTACTCACTTTCTTACTTTCTATAGTTTTAAAACTTTATCTTTATTGAAAATGTTATAAAAATGTTCATATTTTACTATTTTTCTAAATTTATATTTTTATATACATTTTGGTCATTGATTTTCATATTTTTCACATTTTCATAATTTTCTAAAAATTATCTGCATTTTCGGAATGTTCTATTTTTTTGGAACTTTCTAAATTTTCTAAATTTTATATATCTATGTATATATATATATTTCTGAATATTGCGATTTTTTTCGAATTATCTAAATTTCCTAAATTCTCTGGATTTTCTGAAATTTTTGAATTTTCTGAATTTCAGAATTTTCATATTTTTTTGTTTTTTTTAATTGTCTGAATTTTCTGAATATTCTGAATTTTCTGAATTTTCTGAATTTCCTGAATTTTCTGAATTTCCTGAAATTTCTGAATTTTCTGAATTTTCTGAATTTTCTGAATTGTTTTCCTTTTAATATAAATTGTAAATTCTGAATTTTCTGAATTTTCTGGATTTTCTGAATTTCCTGAATTTTCTGAATTTTCTGAATTTTCTGAATTTTCTGGGTTTCTGAATTTTCTGAATTTTCTGAATTGTTTTCCTTTTAATATAAATTGTAAATTCTGAATTTTCTGAATTTTCTGAATTTTCTGGGTTTCTGAATTTTCTGAATTTTCTGAATTTTCTGACTTTTCTGAATTTTCTGAATTTTCTGGGTTTCTGAATTTTGTGAATTTTCTGAGTTTTCTGAATTTTGTGAATTTCCTGAGTTTTCTGAATTTTCTGAATTTTCTGAATTTTCTGTTTTTTTCTAAATTTTCTGAATTTTCTGAATTTTCTGAATTTTCTGAATCTTCTGAATTTTAGATTTTTTTTAATTTTCTGACTCTTCTGAATTTTTAAAATTTTCTGATTTTTTTGTTTTTTCCGACTTTTCAACATTTTCAATATTTTCTTCATTTTCTACATTTTCTCATTTTCAAAATTTTCTGACGTATATACATTAAAAATAATAAATTTGTTACCTTCTGTATGTTTAAGCATTATAAATTTTCTCAGTAAGTTACTTTTCTCCATTTATTTCTATTACAATCTTTTTTTGAGTGGTGTGTATTGTTTCTCAGATTTCTTATTACTCTGAATGTCTCAAACTTAAATATATATATATATATATATATATTTGCAATATTTTTATATTTTATAATATTTTTTCTGCATAGTTTCAACTGAGTTGATCTGAAATTTTCTATTAGAATATATCGTAATGTTTGAGAAATTTAAAGAATTTGACTGTCAACAACTTCAAATGCGAATCCCTGGAAAACGTAAAGCTCAAGAAGCTACATTTTTTTCTGGTGAAATATCATACTGAGTTTTTTTTATTTGTGAAAGAACTGCTTTTCATGAACATTATACTGCTCATATTTTTGCCTGCCCAGGAAGTATACATTACAGGAGGTCATCTTTTCAGAGAAAAAAGGGATACTAACTTTCCAGGAACTACTCCTTACAGGAAACATTATATATTCCAGATAATTTTTTCGTTATAAAAATTCCAATGCCCTTCCCTTTGAAGCCAAAATTGCTCCGTGGTAATCGACATCCATGTCCATCAATGTTGAAAACTGACAAAAAACATATTTTTACTTATTTTCGCTTCTTTTCCCTTATTTCAACTTATTTTTGAATAATATTCCACTATATTTACTTATATGTTCATTATTATGTTACAAGTTCACCTAAACGATTAGTGGAACTTAAAACAAAAAAATAAAAATAAACAATTTAAACAAGATATTAGCAAGATAATAGCAACTTATAATATACTTATAACTTCATTAAGTGCCTGATGTGAAAATAAATAAATTTAGAAGTCTTAGTAGGGCCAACTGTGGTTTTGATTCGTTCGACGCGTGGCATGACATTTCGCACGTATGCACTTCAAAATTGAACGCCGAAATTACGCGTAAATGTTTTTAACATTGGTATGGTTCTTAGGATTGCCTCACCTCTTGGTATTCCTAAGTGTCCGTCATTTCTGTAGCCCATACCTTTATCCACCCAACACATTAATTAAGTGGGTTCTCGTGATTCATGACAGGTATTTCTTGTTTTTACCACCCCTATCCAGTAGTAGATGGTGGTTGAGCGCGCAAATGAATGACATTTCCTATAAAATTATTAAATTCGCGAGTGAGAGAACATCCAAGTGTGGAAATGATGCTAAAACATGTTAAAAAACAAAAACGACGACCAAATCGCATTCAATGAATATCAATGACTCATAATCGCACAGTCCAGCTTTGATCTTAATGCCCGCAACATGACGGCTCATGGGGTGATGGAAAGGGCCTGCAATCGGAGTTGCAAATCATTTGTCCCATTAGCAATCCCGGTTCCAGCAAAACACAACCAAATCATCAAATCCAACATTTTAAGTACCAATAGTTTCGTCTCGTTGCTTTTGGCGTGATCATTTGGGGTCGTTCACGGTCACATGAAGAAAGTCATCGTTTCATTGTCGCATATTGTCGCTTTCCAGCGGACGCCAGTGCATGTCCAGCATGCATTGTTTTCTTAAATTTCCATTGGTCGATCGTACTACGTTGAATCAACAACGCTTGGCACAGCTGTGTAGGAAATTTCATGAGTGTCTCGACAATCGCAACGTGGGCGGCAAAAAAAAGAAACAAATCAATCCAAGTGGATCCAATTAATTCAGGCACAGCAAAGCATTCCGACTGTAGCATCTGTAGCTGTGCCTGAGTTGACGTGTTTCGAATGTTTCGGATTCATCATCGCGAATGTTTCCCAGCAGCATCCATAATCATAGATACACCCAGACGCGTTGAACATGTTGGAATCGTTTGGGATTTTGTTCTTGGACTTGATTAGGTGACATTCTCAATGCTGCTGCATGCACGGTATGTTTGGTGAAATCTCAGCATTCAAATCGACGCACGTTTTGGCTCGCGGTAGATTACAAGCAAAGAGGAGTGCATTTTTCGGAGTATAGCTCAGGAATGAATACTATCATTCAGCATATTTCATTGCAGTGTCTCCCTCTTCCGGCAAACTTGTTTCCAAAACTAGCGGCACTTGTGCCTGCTAACTGCAGGCAGTCCACTGGTTCGCCATGGGTCAGAAGTGCTGCACTCAGCGGAAGGATGAAGTTGGCGCCGGAAGCAAAGATGGCAAGGCACAAGACATGGGTTCAAGGAAGTCAGTGGCCGGTGGCAGCTATGACAAGAAGAGGGCCATCTCCATTGGATACCATTCCAAGGGTGATGATTCCGAAAAATCCGACAAGGCCTTTGAAACCAACGATCTGAAGGCGTTCGTGGAGTTGCTCGCTTCCGAACAGGCCATTGAGTCCTTTGATGAGCGGATGCACCCATGGGCTGAAGACCCCAAGACTGTGGGCGCCTTGGCTGGCACCCAATTGGCCATTTTGGCCTCAGCCGCGGAACAGGCAGAGGGGAACAAACAGATCAAACATGACATCAGGAATGCGGGTGCTATACCTCCCTTGGTGGACTTTCTGAAGTCTGAACAAAACGACCGTGTCCAAACAGCTGTGGTGGCCTTGAGTTTCCTCACGGCAGATTGCAAGGAGAATGTGGTTGCGGCCTTTGAGGCCGGTGCCCTGGAATTGATGCTGAAGTTGGTGGACTCTTCTGTGGCAGGTGAACGGGCGGCTGCAGCAACTACTCTCCGAAACATCTGTGTGGAAGATGACAAGTACCGCAAGAGTTTCGTGGAACTTGGAGGGATTTTGGCACTGGTGAACCAATTGGACACCAAAGCTGACCCAGCTTTGAATCATGCAGATGTCCAACTGGAGGCTGTGCTCAACTTGCAAGACATGGTGGAAACGGATGATGGGCAGACCATTCCCGAGTATGCCAGTTTGGCAGTGAAAGCTGGGGCAATTCCAAAACTCCAAGCATTGGAAAAATCCGACGATGAAGAAGTGAGGACTTCCGCCACAGAGGTCCTTGAGTCACTCCGAGACTTTGCATGATTCGCCATGATTGGCCATGAGCTGCGCTGAACTCATCTGAACTCTAGCGGATTCTTCGTGCGGGAACAGGTCCCAAATGGTCCCAAATTCCAAGACTCCAAGACTTGCCAGGTTTTTTTTTAATGATATTTGGACCATTTTGGAAATCTATCGTCGTTCTAGCCTAGGCATCAAGTTTCACTAAAGTTAATGGATGAAGGTTGGGTGGGACCTGTTATGGCTTCAGCATGCTTCAGCTGGAAGGCATGAGTACGGAGATTATATCAGCTAGTCATCACGACATGAATGGATTAAGATGCAGGTTTGAGACTTTTTTGCCCCCAAACGTGTCTTTGAATATAGATTGCATTGGTTTAGTATATATAATATATAATATTATATAATATTGTGCACCTATCTAGTTGCACCCCACCAACCTAGTGGGACACAAGTATGGAGATGGAATATTCAAACCGTTCTTTGGAACTGATTGGCAAACAATTTCTTTATTCATGCATCGATGTGTACTTGAAATTGGCTGTACATCTGGCAGCCGGCCATTGTTTATACTGACGGCCCAGCGACATGGAGGAGAGAGGAAAACAGTGACACTACCTGTGAGCACTGGCAGTATCTTTCAGTTGGAGTTGCAGGGCTGAGACCTTGACCAAATCCCAATGACATCATGGCATTTCCTGCATATTATGGCACGATATGGCACGCCGCAGGAAATTAAGATGCAGGCTCAAGAACGCTCAAGAATGTAGACCCCTCAAGCATGGCAGCAGCCACGCTTGTGCAATTGGCATGTGCTTGTTGTGCTTCGATTCATTTCGATTCCCTTGAAATTACATTGCTAGTTTGAATGGAGGACACTTCATTTCCGGGTCCTGCTTCTGATGCCAGGATTTCCATGGTCCTGACGAAGATGCAATGGATGAGGAAGAGTTTCCATTCGATCCATTTGACGCTGACGAGGTTTTTCTCAGTGATACGGGTGGTTTCGGGTGGTCGTTATCGGCCAGAACAATTCAACACAAAAGCATAAGGAGAAGAGTCTAGGAGTCTTCAAAATGCATCTTTGCAAGCAAAGCACAGTTCAGGGTTGAAGAATGTTATACGATGTTATACGTATATACGTGTTATGGGGTAATTTGTATTCATATGTGGCAATGCAGCACGCCCAATGACAATCCTCAACTGAGTAGGGTTGTATATACATTTATAACATTTGTACGATTCTGCTTTCCAGTTGGTCCAAACACTTGTTTTTACCCTGTTACCACGATTTACTGGCCAACTTCTGCGAAATGTTGCGGACATTTTCCACGACTTTGAGCAGCTCCGGGAAAAAACTGTCTTCGGCATACCGAGGTGACTGATTTGGCACTACAGACGCATCAGGCATCTCAAGATGATGACGAGTACTACCGCAAGATGGATGCGCACCTGGGAGCAGTCATCGTAGTGCTTGCGTTCAAGATGTGTGCAAAAACCAACAAACTTGGGGACTGCCATTGGGTTGTATTAGGGTTGGGGACTCTTATTATGATTTTGTAGGGTGCCTCACTGTGTT